AATTTTAGTAAACGCCTGAAAATATGCAATATTTGTATTTATTCTTTAATTTTTGAATTAATATTAACAAAAAAAAATTTTAATATTTAGGTAGCTAATTAATTCAATTTAAAGCAACAAAAAAGCACAACAGCACACACATATCATATTTTAAATCTTTTTTTTCTCTTTAAATTATCAAACTTTATAATTTTAGAGTATTACTATTTTAAAAGGAATGCAATACTTAACAAATATTTACATAATAAAAAAAAGGATACAAAACGAAAAAAAAAATATGTAAGAAGTGCATTTTGTTATGAATAGACCCCCAAAACCCTCAATGTATAATTTTTTTTTCTCCTTGTTTTCATTTATTTTTCATTTATGCTTTGGATTTTTTTTTTTTCTTTGCTTTTCATTTTTTGTTTTTGTGTGTTTTGTTCAATTTTTTTGCATTGAAAAACTCGTGCATTGAATCTCTGTTGCTATGAGAAGTAAAAAAAAATTGCATTTATATTTTTTTATTTTTGTTTCGTTTTTCTATTTCTGTTTTTGTGTTGCTTTTTCCTCTTTTAATTTTTATTTTTTTTGTTTTGTGCAAAAATCTTTAAAGTCGTCGCAAATCAGTTCTGCTGAGAGTTCATTCAGTTTTATTAGAAATATGAAGGGAAAAACAATATATAAAAATATTTTTCGTGAAGATTTTCACAGCATTTTTTTTTGATAATTTTTGATTTTATTTTATTTGTGTCTCTTGTGTTATAAGTTGTTTTGTTTATTTGTGTTTTTTGTTTCTTCTTATTTTATTTATTTATTTTATAAAGATATCAAAAACAATAATTAAAATATCTGTGATTTAAAGCAAAGAAAAAAAAGTAAAATAAAAAGAATAGAAAAATTATTAGAATAAAATAGAAATATATTACAAAATAACAAAAAAGCGAAGAAAAGAAAGAGTCAAAAATCTAAAACAAAAAAAAACAATAAAAAAAATGAAAAAGAAAAAAACCTAAACAAAAAACAAATTTTTTTTTGTGTTTCTAACTAAAATAATTATTAATATTATTAAATATTTATCTACATGATGTGTAACTCATACATACTCAAGTGCAAGCTGTGATTTTATGAGAGCATAAATATATCATTCTAAATGCATATTATTGCTTATGTGTTGTTGTGTAAACTATTCATACATAATATTTATAAAAACAAAAAAAAAAAACAAATTAAATCATATTAAAAAAAAAATTATGATAAAAATAATATGCTTAAATATTTTTTGTGAAAATTAAAAAAAAAAAAAACTTATAAAATTTGCAAAACACAACAATAAAATCATTTAAATTACATACAAATAAAATTATTATTAATACATACATTTATACATATACCTACATAAATTTTATTTATAAGTATGTTTTTATTGAAAGTCAGCATAAAATTAATTTTCAAAATATAAAAGGTTAGAATATACTGTGAGTTGTGAGGCTTGAATGAAATAAATAAAAAAAAATCATTTTTCTTTAAAAAATAATAAAATTATATATTGCCTATGAACTTACATCCATACATAAGTATTATATTATACAGTTAATACGTAAGTGCAATAATGTAGATAATATGTATGTATATACAATTTTGTTTTTTAATTATGATATGTATGTATGTGAAAATAGATAATTATATTCTAATAATTATATTTGAATATATACCCATCTTATAGTTAAAGGGTGTTTAGCTGTATAATTATACCATTATATAAAACTCGTATATTCATAATGCACCTATATTGAACCCACATAACTAATTTGTGTACATAATATGCAAATGTACATGCATCTATACATTTATCTATTATTTATAGCGTACATAAATAATATATACATACATATGTGTATATCTTACACTTAATAATTGAAATAATTCTGCAAATTATTTTAATTTATATTTAATAATAAACACTGTATTTATATATTTATGTATGTATGTATGTATATAAATATTAAAATGATAATAATTATGCAAAACGTACATATATATATATATCTAAATATCTTAATTTTTTTTTTGGAAACAATGAAACAAAATTTCATTTTTTATAATATGTGCTTATATATTTATGTATGTATGTATATTTCTATTTTTCTATACCTACCTAATTAATATTTTATCAATTGATAGAAAAAAATTACATGGTAGATAATCTTTTGTTTACATTCACTAATACATATGTAAATATGTACCTATATATGTGTATATGAATTGTTGTTTTTTTTTTTTCTTTTTTTGGTTTTCCTATTTTTATATTTACATATTATTTATTTTTTTTTGTGTTGTTTAATATGGGTATGGGTCTAATATTCAAAAACACAGAGAAAAATATTTTGCTTTTTAGCATAGCTATAGATGTATAAAAACATATACATATATATGTATGAGAATGAGTAAATAATCCGAATAAGTGTCATTTTGTTTGAATGATTAATTAATTTGGTAATTAGATAATAGTCAAAACTGTTTGAATTTTTAATAGCTCACAATCAACTAGCCAAAAATATTGAAGAAGAAAATTTTATCATTCAAGCATATTTTTGAAATAATTTCTCTTTTTACTTTCTTTTCGTTTACGCACTTAGAGTTAAACACTTTAATTTGAAACAAATTTTGTATGTTTGAATAATATAAAAAATATATTTTCTTTAGATTTCAACATAACATTTCAATATTTCCTGATGGCAATATTTATTGAATTTTTTTTTATAAAAAATTTGAAATTTTTCATTAATTTATACATGACACTTCTGCATTTTAAAAATGTAATGTAATGTAAAAATTTGAAATTGTTAGAGTGCTTGCTGAAAAATATTCAATAAAAAATTTTGTAAGGTTTTGTTTAATGATTAATACAACAGAGAAAATTTAAAATTGTATATAAGTATACATTTTATAAATGCTTTTACGTCTTATTAATTAATATGTCGAAATATCTGAATTTTCTTATACAAGTTTTTAAACTACAAATTTTTTAAAACTATTAATTAGTAAATTGACAAAATTTTTGTGTAAGTTTTAAATTTTTTTCAATTCGAAAGTAATAACTTTTTTGTGCTTACTTGTAATAATTAAATAATTTTTTTCAGTGTCAATCGTGTACTTCATAGCATCATAATATTTTAAAATTATTGTATATAATATCTAATATACGTTTGTGCGTATGTATGTATATATGAATATAATCCAGTCGTATATTCATTTTGTATATTTATGTAAACGTACATATGCATTTATGGATTGATAAAAAAAAGCAAAAAAAAATTATTTTCTTTTTTCGTTTTGTCTTTTTCTGAGAAGTTGGGTTTGCTGCAACAATCATGATGAATGCGCTTCCTTCACAGAAAAATGAATAGTGCATAAATTTAAGAGAAAGGGAGTAAAAGAGAGAACAAGAGAAAGTGAAAAAGAGAAAAAAAGAAGGAGAGTATTATTTGTTCTTATAATTTTTTTGCTTTTTTTTTCTGTATTTTCTTTTCATTTGATTTTTTTACTCTTATTTTTTTTTATTCTTTTCTTTTTAATATAGTCTTGCATTTTTGAACTTGATATTAGTGTGATTGTGATGTGTAAAGTAGAAAAATCACTGAGAAATGTAGAAAATAGAGAAATGCAAGAAAAAAAAGAAAAAACGAAAAAAAAAAACAGGTATGGTCCTATTGTAAGAGTAAAAAAAGTGTAGAAGGGCGGTAAAGGGGAAATAATAAAGAGAGAGTATAAAAATATAAATGATTTTAACTAAAGATACCAGCCTATCTATAATTGCAGGCGGGATAATAATGACAAATTATCAAGTTCATTGACCCTATTTATGTTTTTGTTTTTTAATTATTCCTTCTTCTTATGAGATTTCATCATTCATAGTAATCCATTACAAAATCATTCGTCGTCATAAATATCATATTTATCATTATTATTACCATTACCATCATAAATACATCAATATCAATAGGAACTTTGTTTTATTGAAAAAATAATAATTCTGATGATGAAAATGATATTTTTCAATACACAGATATGCAAGTGTCTATCTGCATATATATACGTATACAGAATTATCTGTTTTATGTAAGTATGAATTAATATACGAATACAACAATTGTAACTTTAATCTAGAGTTAAACTGTATAAATATGTTTGTACATACAATAGTATAATATATTAACGTACTTTTGTGTACATAGAGATAAATTGATTAAATCAATTTAAATCTTATTAAATGATTATAATTTCTTTGTAAGCATTTTAAAGCAAAAAATATTTTAGAATTTAATTAAATTATATTTTGTCATTTAATTAATTAGAAATTTTCTTCTCCTCTTTTATTATTTAATGACATACCTAGATATACATAATGTAATATGTATATCTAGGTATGTCATTAAACTTAGGTATTTTTACACTTTTTTGGAGTTTTGTATTACCCAAAATATTTTAGAAGCAAACTACGAAATTTGAATTTTTTAGGCTTATGTATTAGCACAACCCAACGACAAATTTTAAAATTTAACTTCACATTCATTTAAACTTATAATAATAATCTATTGCTTTAAAATTTATATAACACAGCAGAGTAGACAAAATGTCTGTACAAATAAATTCATATTGCATTGCATTACGAAAATGAATGCTAAATGAACTAATTGTACCTACTAGAATACATAATATATTACTCTTTGAATTTATATGAAATTTTACACATCTTATCAACTGTAACAATTAAAGTTTGTTATAAAAGTTTGTTTCTGAAATAAGTGAAAATAAGTATTTTTGACATTCTCATATAAATATGAGAACATTATTATTATTTACTTAAATAGGTATACAACTGCTAAAATTATTTTGAAGAATATGCATAAGTTTTTATACACATACATAGATATCACATATAAATTGCAACAAAAAAATATGTAAAACTATCAGTTTAATATTTAATTTTAACTAATTAAAACAATTTTTTTTTCTAGATACCAGCGTCAGTAATAAGTAGTATTGGAACTGTAAATTTTCGTAATTCAATTATAACACAAAACCATATTAACATATCACAACCACAGAAGCAACAACAGATACAACATCGTCAAATTTATGTTTTATCTAATCCGACAAAATTTAATCAACCATCTGTTTCATCATTATCGTCATCTGATTACCAAAATGGATCAGTAATATCTCGTATGCATGAATCTTCGATAGTCAGAATACCGGCCGGTGTTGCTGTCAGCAATAACAACAATACGTTTGGCCGAATAATTGCAAGCTCAGCGTCCGGTTCAAATACAGTATCAGCAACAAATGAAAATAGTATTGCCGTATTGATAACGAATCATCAGCAAGCTGGCCAACAGCACATCAATACAGCGAAATTTCGTGCTTCACCATTATCAAACAGTTCAGTTGCTACAACATCTGGCAGTATTAATTCTACTCCAACACCGTCTATTAAAATGTTAATACCACAGCAAGTTGCTGTGGCAACAGTTACAACTGTTGCTAGTCAACAGCAACAGCAGCAACATCAGCAAGAGATACAACATCAACAACAACAACAACAGTTACAGCAACAACAGCAACATCAACAACAGCAGCAACAACAACAAAATCAACAATCTCAAGCACGGGTACATCCAAAGAAGCGAAAATTTGATTTAGCAGCTCTTGAGGAAATTGATTCTGCAAGAAATAGCCAAGAACAGCAACAGCCGCAATATCAATATTCGACAGCGGCAGTAGTTAAAGTTGAATCTAATGCAAATCAACCGGATATAAAAATATCAACAAATAATGAATCTTCTGGATCAGCAACAATTGTTGCATATAAAAATGGTGGTAATGGTTTAATAGAAACCAGTTGGCCACAAGAGCATACCACTACAACGTTATTAACTTCTGCGCCATCTGGTTCAACAACTGAAACTGTTTATACTATACGAACCGTACCTCAAGTTCAAATTGTAACCAGTGATACTGGTCATCAAATGTTAATTCAGCAGCAAATTAATAATCGACCATATAACGAAACCGCTGAAAAAAAAATTGTTATTGCAGCATCAGCTCAGAGCAACGAAAATTACAAATTGAACCAAGAACAAGGCATTGGTGCAGGTATGTAAAAATTCATAATAAGTTTTTGTTAAATTAATTAAAGTTTGTAAAACATTTCAGGCATCAGTCATATTAGTACAAATCCGACTGGAAGATCATCTATTGCATCTCCGCAAGTTTCCGGACCAAATGGAAACGATGTTTTAGATTTAAGTGAATGGGCTAATACTCGCGTTTTAGCTAAATTAGGAAATTTTTATGTTCCGGGCATTATCAGAAATGTGTCTGATACCCCAAACACTGTGCAGGTTGAATTTGATCCACCGGATAGTTGTAAAATGACATACAATGATTTACTTGCTTCTGGTCGATATAATGTTATTTTAGATGCTAGTCCTCCTGCAGCCGACGTACGTTTCATAAATATTCAAAAAATTACATTTTTAATTAAATACCTTTTTATATTTTTTAGATAAATGTTGATACTAGAGTCTGTGTTAGAACGCAAATTGAAGGTCGAACTAGTTGTGTTTTTGTTGAGGGTGTAGTTACAGAAGTTAATTCACAAACAAAACAATTTTCCGTACAAATTTTAGATAACTTTAATTCTAATAATTGTAATACAGCACAAAAGCATAGAACTGTGAAAAGAGCTGATTTGCGTTTATTGTTACCACCTTGGTTAGATGAACTAAATGAAATTTCCTCAAAATCTTCTGTTCATAATTTGGACACGATTGGAAATAATTCTAACAATAATAGTTCAATTGGAAATCATTTTAGAGCCCATCAAAGAGCGGGTTCTGTTAAAACACCATCTGGTGGTCAACATAGTCATGAAACAAATATCATATATACCAATAGTTTAGGAAATAATCATAAGGATCAAAGTATAAAGCAACCAAATTTAACATATGTTCGTTACGAAATGTCTTCAAACAGTAATACAATTGAAGGTGGAAATAGAGGGCCTTTACAAATTCATCAGGTTTTACCAACATTACAACCAACGGGAAATAATGACGAGTACCATTATAGAAATACGGCAACCTCGCCATTACATTTAGCACCTCATAGTGTTAATTCAAGTGGTAATAATATTGCTGCATTTGGACAAATTCCAGAAATAATTGTTTCACAAAATATTTCTAATAATTCAGCAATTGGATCTGGTGTAAGTGGAAGTCAATTAATAGCCAGTAGTCCATCCGAAGAAATTCAAAGGCGCCACCAACAACAACAACATTCTCGTTATGATGAATATGAATCAGATGACGAATTGAAACGTGTCGATATTGGTTATGGTATCGATGGTGATGTTGAAAAATTATCAGGTAGTAGTAAACGTAGTAGTATGCAAAGTCGTGGAAGTACATCAAGTCTTTTGGATCAAAGACTGACTCCAAGATCTCATCCAGCAACTCCAAGGTTAATAAAATGTTTGCTTTTTTGTTTTGTTGCAACCTTTTTTTATTTTTTATAATAATAATATATATAATTTCATTTATGATAAATTTTTCAAATTGTAAAAATATATTTTAAATTTCGAATAGATCTCAAGCGGCAACTCCGCATCGTTTTAAAAAAGGTGATGTAGTACAATCTGAATCAGGTGTAAGAAAAAAATACAATGGAAAACAATGGCGTCGTTTATGTTCAAATCAATCTTGCAATAAAGAATCTCAACGACGTGGCTATTGCTCTCGTCATTTAAATCAGAAAGGTGGAATACGTTCCTCTGGACCAAGTCGTTTTCCAGGGTAAAAATTCAACTAAATAAATATACCCACTTATATGTTTATATATTTTTTATTTTTGTTAAGTACTAAATTTTAATTTAACAAAAAAATTCCTATTTAACAGTGAAATATGTAGCAGATCTAGTAGTAAAACTCAACCAGATGAAGAAACTTCTAGAGATTCAGAAACTTCACCCAATTATCGTGTAACTGGTAAATTTGATCAAGAAGAAGCTGATGTTGCAAATTTCTTAGGTATGTGATTTGTAATTTTATTAACATAATAATACAACAACAGAACACAGTGAGAATGAAAATATAACTAATTAAAAAAAATTTTTACTGAACTTTCTAACATTAATGTTATTAAATATTATTTTTTATATTTACCCTTATCACATTTTCAAAATTATCTGTCGTGCATTAAACTCTAAAATATATTTTTTGGATTAAATATGATTTTCATAAAATAGACATTGACCCTTGAATTTGTTTTTTCTTCCATTATTTCTAATAATTTTTTTTATTGAAAATGGTTTTTTTGTTCTTTATTTTCTCATTTTCTCTTTTTGATACCCTTTAGGAACCTGAATTAATAGAATCAGGTTGATTTTCAGTCGTATCATGTTAAATTTATTCATATAACGACAATAATAAAAATAATTTCTCTTAACAGGTATTTTGAAGTTATTTTATTTTATTCTGAATATTATTTAAAAATAGGTATTTGTAAGGCTCTAATCAAAAGCCAGTTATCTTATTGTTACTAACATTGAAATGAGATACTTTTTCAATTTTTTTTTAATTATGCTACAATCATATGGAATATACTTTCCTTTTCTAACTTCTATATACCTATACAAGCTGCTTACTTCCCACGCACGTAGTTTTATATAATAATAATTTCAAATAAAGAAAAACAAAATAAATTTATAATTCTAGTAAAATTTCAAACTTTCATCTATGACCTACGAAAGATCATTAGTGCATTAGAACTCAGCATCATTATTTGATTTTGTTTGTTTCTTTAAGAAAAAGAAAAATAATAGCACAAAAAAAATTTTTATTACCTGCTGATTCAAATAAAGCACTTAACATGCCACTGAACGGTTTGATAAATTCTTTTCATCTTTTCTTCGAATCTTTTCCTCTTATAGATTTTGGTGTTTTATTATTTTTTTTTTCTTTTTAATGTTCCTAAAAATTATTAAAATTATTTTTCGTTGTAATAAGATATTAACATTTTACTTCTATTAATTTTCTGGAAGATACTTTGTAATATTAAAGAAAATTCGAGTAGTTTATCTGCTGTTTTCAAATTTCTAAAACTTACCTGTATAATTTTCTGTATTGGTAATACAATGAATGGCGCTAAGTTTATAATACTATAAATTAAAGAAAAAAATGTAAAAAAATTATTAATTTTAGAAAAATTTTAATGTTGTTTTAATTGGATACTTTATAAAATAATTAAAATAACAATTTGTACATTTAATTCTAGTACTACTGTAATTTTAATGTTCAAAAGATTATGATGAAACCTTTAATGTTTACAATTTTAAGATGTAATTAAAAAAAAAACCTATAAATATTTATTAAATTTTAAATTCTTGAGCGTTATTCCTACCGAAAATAATCAAGTATATATATATAACATAAAATTAATATTTAAGTTTCTAGTTTATTTAAAAGCGTACAAAATTCTCTAGTTTATTTATGAGTATTGCGATCGATTTTAGTGATGTTGTGTACATAATAGTTATGTAATTCGAACATATGATATAAAACGTGGGTATGTAATCATAAAAAAGATGAAATGGCAAAACAAAAATAATCAAAACATAAAAAATAAACCTCTTATCGGCAATTTGCTACCTGACGTCATAAAATTAATTCTTTTAGAATAATATAAATTATTTTTATTATTATTTTTTGTTGTCATAATTGCCATTTCTATTATTATTACTATTATTATTATTATTATTATTATTATTATTATTCTTATCATTATTACTACTGCCATTACCATTGTGTTTTTAATTAATTATTATTTTGATTTTTTGGTAATAACATTTATTATTATTGTATTTATTCCTGTTGCGGTAACTTTTCTTTAATATAACATAATATAACTAATATATAAGCTGAAATAAATGTATGCGCATAATATGAGTATGTACATATAATTGTATAGAGAATTTAGCTGATACAGCTAAATTCAGAATATCAGATCACTCACTACATAATAAACACAAAAAAATAAGAACAATAATAAAAATTAAAAGATCATCAACAATTTTCATTTGAAATATTATTAAAACTGCATCTCATCAACAAAAGTTAGTTACATCTTTTCATCCATAAAGAGATGAACGTTACCGGTTCGAATTTTTCCTTGATTTTTTTTTCACTGTTTTTAAAAAAAGATTCTTTTTTTCTGTTTTTGTTTTACAATTTCATTTTATTTTTTGTTTGTAAATGTTTGTATATTTGGTGTATCACACTTGTTGTTATTTTTGTCCGACTTATTAAGGGAAAAAATGTTCAAATATAATAAGAAGAAATAAAAGAATACAAACAAAATAGTAAAAAAAAAGAAAAACAAAAAATTATAAATAAAGAAAAATTAAATGATTTTTTTTTGTTTTGAATTCCAAGAATATTTTGTTTGAAAATAAAGAACTAGTTTTCAATTATACGTAACAAATTATTATAAATCAACATAAAAAATAACAATGTTAATTATAGTGCTTTTTTAATATAATTTATAAATTATTTTAAATGTACACGTTACTGTCTGTAACATTGAAATTTAAATATGATGAGAAAAAAGTACACAGTGAATTCTTTAAAAATATTTAAATTCCTATATAAGTTGTATTTATCCTTACAATAAATTAATTATATTATTAAATTTGTAATTATGAGTGCCTATTATGATTTTGAAAGTGGCGCCAAACTATATTTACAATGTTTACGTGAGTTTTTTATTTTATTATTTTCCTTTTCGATATAAGTACTATTTATTTTTCATTAAAATTTTGCTCTTATTTTGAAATAAGGAATAAAAATTGGAAAAAATTTATACAATTTTTAACTAAGGATTGATATATCAAATGTTTTAGCTAAAGTAACTCCTTACACAGATACTGTCACTAATTTTATATAAACTCTTTAAATAATTTAATGTTATAATTACCTACTTACATAGTTATTAAAGAAAATATTTTTTAATTAATATATACATACAATTATATATTTTGAAATATGGAGCGTAATTTTAATTGTATGATGGTAATAATATATTGAAAATGGATAATTCATAGCCGAACTAGTTTTCAATGAGAAATTGTTAATAATTTTTTTTATTTATTTTTCTTTATTTCTCAATTGTAAAATACTACGGATATAATTGTCTTTTAAAAGGGTCTTATTTCTTTTTTCCCATTGTAATTTTAGCATCCGTGGGTTCAAAGTTTTTTTAACTTGTATAAGTAAAATCTTTTCAATCATGATAGTGTCGAGTTGATTAAAATCATTAATTTTTAATCAAAATTTTGCCACTAATGATAAACAAAAATATGTAGAAGAATTTCGTTTATTTACATTAAGTATTTACACATGTATGTACATATTCGTATTTGTTTTAATTGTGGTTCGCAAAAACTAATTTCATTTTTTGATTACTTTTTTCAAATTATTCTTCATAATAAATATTATTTAACGTACTTGAGTTATTGTGTACTCTACAAAGTTTTATAATTCTCAAGTTTTCTACAAAGTTGTCATTCAATTCTCTTCATAAACTGTTTCATTCATGGTCAAAACTTTATCTATTGTTGTATGAAACATAAATGGTTTAAACTTTATCTATTGTTGTATGAAACTGTTCGTTTCTAAAGACGTGAATAACTTTAAAACTAAAAATAACTTGGTTCTTAATTTCAATTGATTTATTTCTAGTATCAATTAGTAACTCACGCCCAGCAACGCCTTCGTTTTCTTCACCAACGAATCATGCGAACTCTCCGATGAATGCTACACAATCACCAGTTACAGTATCTAATCGAAATTTCTTTACACCGATTGGAGCACCAGGTGTACCTAGCGGTCATCATCAACACAACCAAACTCGTTCTCATAGTAGTAATAACAACAACGGTCCATTAGAGAGTTCAACTAAATGGAAAAGCTCTCCTAGCCCAGTTTTGTATAATGTTAGTAGTTACTCTCAGGTAATAAGACCAGAGTCTGTACGTCCGTCGACTGGAACAGTCGTAGTAACACCATCAACTCATACACAACCTTCACTTGTGCAATCTCCAAATTTACCACCACAGCAACCACATCATGTTAACCAGTTACAACAAAATCACCATCACGCTCAACAACCAATGCAGACGCACCAGTCGCAGCAACAGCCTCATCAAACGCAAATGCAGCAGCATGTGTCATTTTCTAGCTCGACTACACAAAATATTCAGCATACCGTAACTGTAGCTGCACCGCCATCAACAGCATTTGCACAAGCGAGTAATATGCCAACTGGTCATGCTACTAGTGTCATAAGAATTTCACCAGCCTCCAGCAATGCTAACAACAACACATCACTACACCCAGTTATTGTTGATCCAACTCATATAATACCTGTACTACCCGGAAGTGGTGCAGTCAACGTTGCTGCAGTAGTAAACAATAACAGCATTATTACCAATAATATTTCTAGTGATAAACTAACGACTCCAAAAAACGGTAAATATTAGGACAAAAAGACTGGGCTGTCCTCATTTGATTAATCATTATAATTTTTTTTAGGTATTAGTCCAGGATCGATATTTCAATGGCATACGCTTTTGCCTGTTATAAATTCTCCTGCCAAAATTCAACATCAACACTTAGGTCAACAAGTTCAATCGACTTCTGGAATTAATAATACTTCCCACAATCAATCCTCTGTTAAACAGCAACAACATGATCAGCAACATCGCCAACAGCAAATTCAACAACAACAACAGCAACAACGTCAGCAAGTTACACCTCCTCCAATGGAATTAAAAGATGACTGTGATGATCAAATTGATGATGATGTTTTCGAACCAACACCAAGTGTATCAAGTGGCAATAGCAATACCAAAGCTAATCAGCAACAGCAACATCATGACCAACAATATCATAATAATGGATATCGTCCAACAATATGTAGTACAAATACATTTGGTAGTAGTGATAGTAGCTTTAGCGTAAATTTTAAAGAAAATGGAAGTGCAAATACTCCTTGTAGTTCAGAAAAAATGGAGAATTTATCAATTGGTAACAATAACCAAGTGTCTGGCTGTAATAATGATACGAGCGATGCTGCTTCTGCGGCAGCTGCAGCAGCGTTGACAAAACGGCGATCACAATCACTTAGTGCTTTACAAAGTAAAGAAAAAGAGCCAATGAGCCCTTCAATAAAGGTATAATATTATTAGTACCTATTGTAGTATGGATTGTATAATAAATATATATTTTATAAATAAAATTTTTTTCTATGACAGACAAAAATACGTCGTCCGATGAATGCTTTTATGATTTTTTCAAAAAAGCATAGAAAACTGGTTCATAAAAAACACCCAAATCAAGATAATCGTACTGTTAGTAAAATTCTTGGGGAATGGTGGTATGCTCTAAAGCCTGATGAAAAAGCAAAATACCATGAATTAGCAGGCGCAGTAAAAGATGCTCATTTCAAAGCTCATCCAGAGTGGAAATGGTGCTCTAAAGACCGTAGAAAGTCGTCTAGTTCGACGAAAGAATCCCGGGATAGAATGGATTCTATTGATGGAAATGATTCATTAGATGAAAAAAGCCCCAATACACCAGTTTCAGCTGAACCCGCTACCACAATAACTGCGGATATAATACCATTGACAATTGCCACGTGCTTAAGTGAGACAAATAGTACAATTAAAGATGAATCAAAAAACCATATGTCAGAAGATAATTGTCATCAATCTGATGACGAGCAAGTAAGAACTTTATAATTTCGAAAAATAACTATTATTTATTGTTAAGGTTTTAATTATTAATAGCTCAAAAAATTCCAGATGATCGCAGCAGAAGAACACAAAAAGCCATCAAACGAATCAAGTCAACAAATTGATTTGAAATGTGCTGAAAAAGTAACTGATTCCGACGTCGAAGACTCAGCGTTTGATGCTAGCAATAATGTAAGAATTATAATTTATAAGTTTTTGAAATATGCATATTTAACTATCGAAAAACATTCAATTATAAAAAATCTTTTAGCATTCCGAAAGTCATAAGAAAAACATAGATGGTTTGTTATCAACAAATTTTGCGAATAACTCATCTAATAGTAATGCAACAAAATCTACTTCTGAAGATAACAAAACAAGTAACATGCAAACTGGAACCAACGATAGAGAAATAACATTTAAACCAAAAGCAATAAAAGCATCACAACGATGTGTTGAAAATAGTATTTTAAGTTACCAACCAATTACAAGTTATTCTTATATGAGTCCAAAAAATCCTATTGGAATTACACCATTTCAACCTACTGGTACGTTTTAAAAATTCAACAAAACATAACGTATTTTATATTGACTTGAATTTTAGGTGGTGCTTTTAAAACAATGCCAGCTAGTCCTAAAAGTGCAAATTTGAATAAAACTCCCAGTGGTGTTGAAAATTTGTCATCACCATTAATTACGGCAATAAAACAAGAGCAAAATACAATTGGTGGTGTTAATAATAATGATCCGCAAACACCGCAAAAATTTATTCAAATAAAACAAGAGCAACAGTCCCCATTTGCTTCGAATTGTGCGCCACAAATATTTACGTTTAATATGCCTATTGCTACATCAAGTGCTTCATCTGTTGGTATTACAACTGCCCAATTAAAAAACTTTACATTCAATCACTCAAATAATAATTTAACTTCTGCAACCAACTTAAATTCAGAAAATAATCCATCAGCAAATAGTTCAAATACAAATGATAAACAAGGTAACCCATAATTTATCCAAAACAAATTTTTTTTCATTTCATTTTTATTTCATTAAAATTCATTAATCTATTTTATGTACTAACTGTTATTTTGATTTTGTGTTAGTTTGCATGCTTAAAAAATTATATTATTGGATTAATACTTTATTCGTTATTTTTCACATAAATTCCAATATTTATTTAAAAAAATGTATATGTATATATATATATATATCCTAATCATTTGTATACTTTCCATCTTTAACACATGTACTAAACAAAAAATATTAATTAAATAAAACTAAATAAAATAAAAAAATATTGTTCGTACAACTGTTTTAATATGAATTACAAAACTACAATGGAAAAATTTTCTGTTACTGCAAAACTACTTGCGAAAAATTGTTGAAAAATAAAATGTAGAAGTTGACCATAGATTAATGAACACAATTAATTTAGAAAATGTTAAATCTACTCAAGCAACTAACAGTTCTGGACCTTTAGCTAGAAAAAGAATTAAAAGTTTAAACGATATAACGGAATATGAAAATCAAGATGACGAAGATGATAGCACTGATGATGTTTTTGAGCAATCAAGTAAAATGATTGATGATACAACAGAAGCCCGAAGTGAAAAGGCATCCCATGCTACCAGAATTTTATATGATGCAATTGTATTGGATGCTTTAAATGGAGAAGATATTGAAACAGTTGAATTTGATGATAATACAAATAAAATGGCATCACAAGTAACAGGCTCAACCAGTGTCTTAAAAAAGGCTACAAAAGCAATAATTTCACCAGCATCACTTGTTTTAACAAATCACACAAAAATGATTTTACTTACACCACGGATAAATAAATTAATAAACTCTACAGATAAAATAATAACTGCGAAACAAATTTTTAAGCCAAATAATATAGATTTACTTAATTGTGCAAATGTATCTCATGTGGCTAATTATACCAGTAATAACAATAGTAATAGTTTTTCTGCTGCTAACACAACTTCAACTTCAAGTAATAAAAATACTAATAGTAATAACTCTCCTTCTTACTCTACAACTTTAACAACAAGTACAGGTATTTCTCACTTTGTTGCCAAATCAAATAATATTAATAATAGTAATGATAATATACTTTCAAAGAATATTAGTTTTAGATTAAAAACTAACCCTACCACCAATTGTATTCCTGTAAAAACAATGCAACCACAATCTTATAACACTAACAATATAAATAGTTATAAAGAAATTAAAAAAATTTTATTAAGTGATTCTAATACAAACAAATGTAATAAAAATAATGATAGTTATAATCATAATTATGAAAGTAATAATAATAGTTCTCATTCACAAAATCATCATAAAATTCATATTAACAATAACAATACTAATAATAATTCATCATCAACATTTTCATTAATATCATCGTCGCAATTGCAAACTTCTTCTTCTTCTTCTACTTCATTTCAACCACAATCAATATTAATGATTAATTCACCGGCTAAATTAAATTCAACAGCACATATTGGTGGTAATATTGTTGTATCTGGTGTTGGTGGGAGTGTTCAACCAACAACAATAAATACAACAGCTGCAGCTGTTATTACAACTTTAAGCGGTACACCAATTGGTTCAATATCAACCGGAAATGGTGGAACAACACAATTAATAAAAACGACAAATCAATTGGGACAAAAACAAATAATGTTTGCTATAAATGGAAATCAACAGGTAAACAATTTTCTTTAATCATAAAATTAGATTTATTCACATTTTTTTTATTTCTAATTTTAGCTGGCATTTTTGCCTATGACTTCCGCAGCAAACGCGCTTACTTCAGATGAGCAGGCCTATCTGATTAATTCAACTTCGCTCAGACATACACAAACAATTGACTCTCAGCAAAATAATATTGGTAATTCACAAAATCTATTGCCGACATCACAAGTTTCCACAAATGGAGGTTCTATAAACAATTCAAATGCTTCTGTGCAATATATTGTAAAGAAAGGTAAAGTTTTAACACATTTCCTTGGAATCAGATTGGGACGAAATTATTACTCTTTTTCTGCAGAAATTGTACCAGATTCTCCTTCCATATATAAACATCTCCCTTCCACGCCTCAGTCGACGACTTCCGCTGCGGATTTGAAATCGGAGCATGCAGAATCGGAAAATAAGAATGAGGGTATTGACAGTGATTGCATTGAAGAGAATACATTTGTTTTGGCACCAACTCCTGCACAATTAGGCAAAGCCCCGAAACAAATAAGGCAACAGCATGGAATAAGTAAATTTAATCAGTCAGTATATTGTGTATAATTTAATTGAATTATTTCAGTGTCTACTTCTGATTCTCAAATATCTACTACAGACAGCATAACAACAACAACTATAACGTCTGGAAACATTTTAACTCCTGGAGGTCTACCAACACCAACATCTTCTACGTCAAATAATGATGAAAATATTCAGTTTTCTCCAACCAACAAAAAAAATATATTGAAAAAAACAAAAAGCGATGACATGGATAAGTAAGGAATAAAATATATTTTAATTGTAAAATAATGTTTGTTTTTTACAAATATGAATAACATTTTAGTGTTCTTAAACAAGTCGATTTTGAGAAAAAATATCAAGCACTGCCACAGTTCAAACCGGAGGACTGCCAATCCCCTAGTGCGATTTCAGTTCCATCTTCACCTCGAGTGTATGGTACAAACTATCGTAAAAAGAACTCGCTTCAAAAGATACGTAGGTTTTTGAATTTATTTATTAAATTATTTATTTTAGTATTTTAAAATTTTTTCAATATTTTATAGAAAATGAAGATGAACAATCAGATATTGACAGTGCAATACCGATGTCTGCCCAGAGATTTTTTGGACCTGATTTTAATATAGATCAGTTACGAGGTGATTTAAAAATATAGTTAATTCATTTTTTCGAAGTACTAAATTAACATAAATTTATTTTAGCCTCTGAGTTAATGGAATCAGATCAAACTGGAAGATCACCACGTACTCCTCAAACACCATTAACAAATCAAAGCGGACGTCAAGATGCTAATGAAAAAGGCCACAGGAAACTATTAGAACAAAGAAGGCAATTAGTTTTACAATTGCTAAAAGAACATGGCATGTTTCCCAGTCAACAAGCAACACATGCTTTTCAAGTAAGTTTTCTAAAATTTTTAGATTTTTACACATTTGCTGCACAGAAAGCAAAATTTTACAGAAAATACTGTACAGAAAACAAATTAAAAATTTGACTCTTTTTTTATTTCAACATTCAAAAAATTTCCTAAATAATTCCTTTTAGGCACAGCATAAAGATATTTTTCCACGGCGGCAGGATTTGCAATTAAAAATACGTGAAGTAAGGCAGAAACATATGTCACAGCCTGGTTTCACACCTCAGTCAGCGACTCCAGGTCCAGCGACCCCAATTGAAAACTCCACAGGTAAGTGAAATTTTAGTATTAAGCAAATTTTTTTCCATTTAGTGTGAATATCACTAATAAATAACATTGTTGTCTTTAATTGTTAAAACCTAAGCTCAATAAACTTGTTCTCTTATAAAAGGTTCACAATTGACAATTATTAGAATACATAAAAATTCAAAGTGTTAATAATTAAATATTATTAAACAATTTTTATTCATTGCTTAACAATCACTTTCTGATATTTTTATTATTAACTGTAATTGAACAAATGTAATATAATAACCTGGAATAAATTACGTTGTCAGAAGTGACACTGCAGTTGCAAAAGCTATTTACACAATGTAAGTTAAATTGGATATAGTTAGAAAGTACCTTTATGTAATTTTGTTGATACATTCAAAAATAAATAAGAGTTTTCGGTTTATTATCTTGCATTGAAATGCAACGCAATTTTATATTACTACTATTTATAATAAAAGCAATTCATATTTGATTCTTGGCAATATATATATATATATATATTTATATATAAATATGTGTTAATTTATAACTTATTACAATAACTTATTACGATAACTTATTACAAGAACAATGTTTTCAAATATAGAATATGCTGTGAATATGTTTTAAACTTTTGTTTATAATAAATTGAAAATGAAATTTACATATTTTAAAAATTATAATTTAATTTTAAATAACTTGTAGGATATTCAGTGGAATGTCAGCAAACACAATCTCAACAGCAACAACAACAGAATTTGCCTCTGAATCAACAGCAACAATCTCAAACTCAACAGCAATCACAGCAGCAGCAACAAAAACAATAACATTGAAATGAAAATAAAAATTTACTAAAATCGTAAAAAAACCAAAAACAAAGATATAAACTGAAATGTTGAATCAAATTTACTTTAAAATTTGAATTGAATTTACTAGAAAAATAAAAATAATAAAATGATTTCTTAATTTAATTTAGGACAAAAAACAAAATAATGAAACTTGAAATTCTTGCAAAAAACTAAAACCTAAAACTAAACATTTATAAATAACTTTGAATTTTTTGAATGAACAAATATGAAAAAAACAAAAGCAGAAAAAGGAATATTAATAATAATTATACAGTTGAAATAGGCTATATGAGGTCAATAATAACCCTCTTTAGGAAAATAAATTAAATAATGAAAATCTTTGATATAAAAAACAATTATTTATATTAATACATACATACACATAATAACTGAAATAATATTTAAAAAAAGTGGCAATAACTATAATTTATACATGAAGCAAGGAGATAATTATGAAAATATTTCTATATTTCGAAACTTACAATTTTATTACAATATATATCAGAAAAGCCGGAAAGCAAAAAAGAATAAGAAAACTTTATTTCTCGTAATAAAAAAAGCCATTCTATTAAATTATTGCCATTGATTTTAAAATGCAAATCTGAAGTTTGTTAGAGAAGTTTTTTACCGATTTCTTTTATTTTTATTTAAAAACATTTTTTTTTAATGTGTCTTGAATTTGTATTTTTTAATTACTTAAAAAAAAATTAAAAAAATATGTAATACATAGTTTTTTTTTATTATTTTATTTTAGCATTTATTATATTTTTATTTAACATTTTTTTTTGGGGTCAAACACTTTATCTCTTTTGAATATTATTTTTTGTTTTAAATAAATTATTTTTGCTAAAACAACTCTGATCTATTACTTTCAAAAAGGAAAAATAAATAACAAATACTCGAAAATTGAATATCTATGCACAAAAAAAAATTTAAATTTAAAATTGATAACAATTGATTTCATCCTTCATATGTTGAAAGATATAAAATTTAATTCGAATGTGATTTAAAAATAAGAACTTATAAAAATAGAAACTATTTTAGTTATCAGAATCTCACTGCAGGATGCAAATAATACAAGGAAATTTAAACATTTACAAAAATCTTTGTACTTGCAGGATCGTCTCCTTCCTATGAAATAAACATTACTGATTAATTATTCATCTAACTATTTTTTTCATTTCTGATCATAAGAAATTTATTTTTCAATTAAGTGATACAGCAAATATTAAAGCTGAAATTAAAAAATTTAAAATCAATTGTTCGCAATTTTAAATGTTGAAATATATTTTAAATGAGCTAAAAAATATTTTGGAAAAAAATTATTTATCTAAAATATTATTAACAGAAAAAACAAAACAAATTATGGCATATACATAAATATGTCTCTTCTTTTTTATTTTGTTTTATTTTTCCTTTTGCAAAATTAAAATATAAAACGTAAGTAAAATTTGTAACCTAATTAATTAAATTTCAAATATCAAACAGGTAATAATATAAAAAAAATGGATAATTTTAATTATAGAAATTAAAACAAAACCTATTTATATAATCAGTGCTTAGGCTTAAACATTTGAAAATTAATACAAAACAAGAAAAAATAAAAAAAAACACAAAAATATGGAAAAATTAAAATATTTTTAAATAATAAATATGATAAAATTAGAAAATTCTTTGATACTTATGTAATATTTAAAAATATATATAGCATTATATTATTATTAAAAAAATAAAAAAAAATGATTAAATGTTTTTGTTCAAAATTATTTCTTTATAATTATGTATTTATACATATATATATAGATATATAGATATATATATATATATATTTATATATATATATATATAGATATATATACACGTATATATATAAAAGATCTAAATGAAATGTATTTAATACATATTCTAAAATTAATGTGCATATAAAAATCACAAAGTAAATAAATATATCAAAATATAATAGCAATAAATTAATAAATTTTCGCTAAAATATTAAAAGTTATATAAGCAAAATTCGTACATTATTCATAAATATATATACATATATATATATATATATATATATATATATATATATATATATATAACTAATATATATATATATATATATTAATATATATATATATATATATATATATATATATATATATTTTAGTTTTTTATTTTATTTTTTTTTGGCAATTTTAAATTTATGTTTTTAATTTGTTGTATAGTATTATAAATACGAACTTTGAATAAATTAAATAAAACAATAAGGCCATCATTAATATCTTAATGTTTAATTGTTATTTTATTATATACATATATATATAATAATACATATATTATATTGTTTTATAATTATGTAAGTTCATTAAGTAAGTGTTAAAAAAATTTAAAGCAACTTGGAAAAATTGAACTCTATTAATTGTAAATATAATATTTTTTTTTATTTTTATTATTTTAAAAATATTAAAAATTGCATTTGAGTTTAAGAAATTGAGGATAAAAATATTAGGAAATCTATTTAATTATTAAGAATATTAATACGTGAAATTTAAAACACGTTATTGTAAGTTTAAAGGCAGGTTGAAAGTGATTGTTCTTCCCACTAATAATCTATACACTTAATTAAAATAAAATTTTAAAATTATTTTAAATTTCAAACAAAAAAAAAAATTTTTTTAAGCTCTTTATATTATTTTTTGTATAACGTAAATAGCTATTTATTTTATGGTTTACATAAATAGGTTTTTTGCTTGAAATTTTTTTAAACGATGTAGATGCTGTCGTTTTTTAATACAATTTTGTTATGATTAGCTTTTTATTTGAGTTAAAAGAAATTGATTTATTATTATTTTTTATGTCCTTTTCGCGAAATTCCTTCCTAAAATTGGAGTTGTCTACTTCACATTGTATTGAATTGAATAAAAAAATTTAAGTTTCTTTATTTCTGGAACACATAATCTTAATCTATAATACACAAAACATAAACACATAATGATATAATCCAAGTACTAAAGAATAACATTTGCTGATGACAATTTTTATTATTTCTTATATTAAATAAAAAAAATTTTTAAGTTAAAATATTTTTTAACATTGTGATTAGAAATTAATTTTTGTATTAAGTTTAGTAGTAGCGATTATTATAATTAGCAAACGTATTAAGGCAATAAATAAGAAAATGATAAAAAACAAAGTAATTTTGAAAAAAAAATTAAGCAAAACATAAATATTAAATATATAAAAAATGTTTAAAAATTAAAAAAATATTACAGCTTAATTAGTTGTCGTGCTTCTCTTAATTTTTGAGTATTTTTTGAATATTTTTAAATTTTATATATGTATAAGAAAAATTGTTCTTTTTATTATTTTTTTTATTGTTTAATTTGATTAGATTTTTTTTCTTAATCGAGATTTTAATTTGTAATTTACGTCATTAAAATACAATTGAATATGTTTTATTATTTTATTTTATTTGATTATTTTTAAAATTGTTTTAAAAAATATTAATAAAAAAAGTAAAAAAAATATATATGAGAAAAAATAATTTAATAATTGTTCATGTACTTTATTATTAATTAATTAATTATTATAAAAAATATGTGTATATAATATTCTTATTATAATTATTAGCAATTATTATTAATAATTATCAATTTATAATTAAAGTATTTTAAATTGAATTAAACATAACTTATACGGTAAATACAAATTTAATCACGCATATATTATATATATATATATATATATATATATATATATAATACATATAATTATGTATTTGCATAATAAAAATATGAAAATCAATTTGAAAAATTTAACAAAAAATGTATTTTGTAATATAAAACGTGTTTTTTTAAGTAAAAGAGAAAATGTTAAAAAAATATATATATATACATACATATACACAAAATTGTTTTTATTTTTTTTTCAAACTTATTTTCGGTGTTAAAAAATTTAAATTAAATTTGTTTTGTTTTTAACAACTGTTCCAAAATCAAGATAAAAGTCAAAGGATTCCTTGATAAAACCCATAATAATTTATAATCTTAATTATATAGTTTTTTATATGATATAAACAATCGCTATAAAAGTTATTTATATGTAAGTTACATGAGTTATAAGTGCACACTATAAATTAGACACTAGGAAATATCAGTTTCAGTTTCAGTTCTCTTGAAATACAGTAAGTACATATCTTAAATTAATTTAACATGATTTATTTATTCATGTTCTTATTAATTCTTTTTATATATGTATCTTAAAATATGTATTTCACATTTTGTCGATAAATATTTTTTTTAATATTTATTATAAAACAATCAAATTTCAACAATTATCTATTATTGTAATACAATGATGCAGACATATTTTCTAACTACGTAAACAAGCATTTTTATTGAGACAAACAGAAATTGTTTGTGCACAATGTAACTAAAACTACAAATTTTGTTAGAGTTAGCGGAAATAGTTTTATCAGTATTTAAAAAAAAAAAAATTAATCAGTTTACATTTGCTGTAAAGAACAAGAACAGGTGCTAACGTAATCTTAAACAAAATATTAATATTTTGTATGGTAAAATTTTAAAGTTTGTATACATATTTAATATGTTTAATAAAACTTAATAAAATTACTTTTATCTAATTATGTTGAAACAAAGGAAAATAATTTTTTAATTTTATATGTGAAATAATATGAGTAATAAGGAATTCATTACGAATACATGGTTGTATACTAAGTTTCTTACGAAAAAGTTAAGTACCTATATCTTAAAAATATGGTATTTAATAATTTATTTTAATGATTTAATAAAATATTTAAAATTTTGTATAAGTAGCTAAAAATTATAGTGCCAATATAATATATGTATACATGGATACTATTCATTAATAAATAGTTTTATTAATAGTATTTTCAATAAATGCAATAATATCAATAACATTTCAAATTTATGTTTAGATAACATAAATAAAACATTAAGAAAAAACTACTTATTGGAACGAAAAATTATTGAAAATTTAAAAACAGTAGAATATATTATGACCCTAGGTTTGTTAGGCATGAAATAGTATTCAAATGACATGAAATTAAAGTGAAATTATTTTATTAATCTTTTATTGATTTATCTATTTATTGGTGTGTAAAAGTATTTATCAAATTCCTTTCAATAACATTTTCAAATAATACCTCATTAAGTAAAGCATTTTGCTCATTGTCCTCTTAACAAAATATCCTTATAGCATGAGTTTAATTTGTCAATCGCAATAGCAAAAAGCAAACACTATTTTTAATTCAAATATACGAAACATTTTCGGAAACATCTCAAAATTGCAATTATTGTTAAATTAGCTTCAGCTATTTTATTCAAATACTAGTTTGTTAAACTTAATAGCATTCATAATAGCAAATTCAGAAATTCTTACCAAAATAGTCTGCTAAAGCAATATAAAATTAAGGACTTATTAATTAACCGATGATTTTTTAGCGAAATTAATTTTTTGATTACTTGTCTAACAAAATTAATAAAAACTATATAAATACACCAATTCTTGCATTTTGGTACGTTAAAGTCAAATTTTCAAAATGTATTTAAAATGCTAATGATTATAGACATTTATTATTTTTTAAAATCCATATATTTTTAATATAAAAGGGTCGTTATTTTTTTATATTATAATGCAACGACATTTAACGAAAAAGAAAACTATTATAAAATATTAATATTTAATATTATAATTTAATAATAATAATAATATTATAATTAAATAATAATGTTAAATATAATAATTACCATGTTGGCAATATATGTATATAAAATAGAAAAATTTAATAGTATAAATATACAATAAATAATAAATATTCGTTTTTGTTTATTTTTCAGTAAAATGAAAATATACATAATATTTAAATACATATTAATTAAAGAAATTTAAATGAAATATTTTTAATTTTTTGTTCTTTAACCTCATTGATATATTTATATAACAATAAATTTATAATGTTATATTAAAATAAAAAAAATAACAATATAATTTCAACAAATAAATCCCTTTATCTCCTTCACATACAAAAGTACTTAAGAAAGAAAAAACCAGAAAAAAAATTAACAACATATTTAAAATATAAATAATATATACTTTAATTGAATAACAAAATATGAATTAAAAATTTACAATTAATAGGGTTATTATGGTTCGCGAAACGAAAAAGTATTCGAAGCGATTAACTTACTTGAATATTCACCAAAATGATACAATGGTTCGCGAACAATAAATTCGTTAGGTAAAAAACCTTGTTATTAAAAAGTAATCATAGTGAACAATATAGGTTATAATATTTAATACATTTTTCAAAAATTTAAAGTTTAATTGATATTTCAACATATTTAATTTAAGAAATAACAGAAAACACGTTTTAATCGAGTGCTGATATATTCTATTGTGATTAGTACACCAGTAGTAGTAGTTAAGACGAGGGAAATGCAAATATTTGAAGGATTTGAGGATATGTAGTCACATATCTTCGAATCCACTACATACAATAAATGTTGCATAGATATTATTTATTAAAATAAGTTTTTTTTTTTTCAATTACATTTTCCTTATAATAGATATTTAAAAATTATAAATTATTTCACTAAAAATTCTAGTTCTGTATCTTTTTAACAATGGCCTCCATGAAACCTTCAAATAGTTCGATATATCAACTCAAAATAACAGCAAAGTTTTAAGAATGGCCTCTAGTCACATACAATTAGTTATATACAATGGGTACTAGTCACATAGTTTTGATATTTCTGTCGAACAATAATATCATTAAGATAAAATTCGCTTCACAAACCATAATAACCCTAAGAAACACAATACCAACTTTTATACCCAACTTTTGGCATACAAAATTTCTGGACTTACAAAAAATAAACAAAAAATTAAAGAAGCAAATCAAAAATTTAAAAAAGAAAGTTTTAAAAAAACATCTACAAAAAATGTTTAGGCGTTTAACACAAAAAAAAAATACAAAATTACAAGAAAATTTATTGTATTTACGTATTTATATAACAAAAATGGTACATTTCGGATTCAAAATTCTAAATTAAAATTGTAAATTTATATAAATATTATAAAATAAAAAAAATAAATGTAATAAAATATAGTAAATTTTAAAATTAAATTACCTAAAAATAAAAAAAACCATAAATGATTTTAAATAAAGACAAAAACAAAAAAGATATAAGAAAAGAGAAACTATAAAATATAAAATTTAATATCTAAAGTGCTTTTATAAATCTAGACTTTTATTTTTTATTTTGCGTTTTCAATTCTTAATTTCTTAAATTTTAATTTAATGTGAAATATAATAAATTAATAAAATAATATGTAAGTAAATAAATTATAAAAGAAAATATTTTTCAATATATTTTTAAAATATAGATGGAAAAATAATAAAACGTAGTTCTACTACGTCAACAAAAAAAAGTAATTAAAATTAAAAATAAAGAAAGAAAATATGAAAATAATTTTAATGTTAAAAACAAAAAAAGTTAGAGCGAAATATATGTATATACATTTATTACATAATGTATGTATATTATATATATGTATATATATGTATATTTAAAAATATAAATTATGTATGTAATGATACAAAATTGTGTATGTATATAAATAAAAATAAAATGTCAAATTTGAAAGAATATAATTTTTGTTTTTGTAAGAATTTTGTAAATTAAATTATTAATGTATTTATAAAATATTGAACAAAATTTGATAAATTTCATTTACTTTTCGACACTTGAAAAAATTAAGATTTTTTCTTTTCAAAATTAGGTATTTTTGAAAATTTGTTTTTTCAAAGAAAAAATAAAAAATATCTTACGTTAAGTACTGAGAAAATATCTGAAATGGCAGCACTGTTCAAAAATTGGAAAAATTCTTAGAAACAAGTTTTAAAAAATAGTCAATTAAACTTTTATCCACTTTTGGTTAATTTGCATAAAAAAGTTTTTAAAAAAATTACAATAAAATTTGAATTGCAAACTATCTTTTGAGAACCATAAATAAAAGAAATGATAATAAAAGTTTAATTCATTATCAATCATATTATCATCTGGCACATACTGAAAATATAGATCGTTTGAAAATTACTCATTGTAATAAAGTGCATTCGGAAATTCATTCTGTAATAAAGAAATGTGAAAAATGTAGCGCAGCCATCTATTTAAGTTCTAATGTAGAACTTTCGGGTTAGCGTGCGTAAACGAAAGCACCTTTGTTTACAAAAAAAAAAGGAATAATTGGCAGCAAAGAAAATGTAACCGCCAATTATTTTTTACAGGGCTTATTATCGACAGCACTTAACTTTCAACAATGCCACGTTGACATTTCCTAATAAAACTAACACACTGCATTTAAGTACTTAGCGCTAGAAAAGTTGAATTAAATTTTCAAAAACACAGAATGTCTTCTAATTCAAAAATTTAAAAAAATTTTCGTTTTTAAATAAAACAATTGTATTAGTATTTTGTACACTTAAATTCTAAATTAAAGATAATCTAATTTAAAAATTTAACATCTTTGTGACACTCATTTTTGTATACATATGTACATTTTAAATTAAAAAATAAAAAACAATTTGTTTCAATTATTTCATTAGAAATCAATGTGATAAATTTCAATGTTTGTCAATGATATTGCAAATTAATATTTAACATAAAAAATTGACAAAATATTTAGGTAATTACAATTTTACCAAAAAATTTTTAAATAACGAAATTATTTTACTCTAAATTATTTTTTATAAAATTTAGTAGACTTTTTTATAATATCTATAAGAAAATTGAACTAATATTAATTTAATTAAAATATAAATGCAATGAATTGACAAAAATTAATCAATCATTTTAACATTCTGATTGCATATTTTATTTTCTTCAAATACAAAATTTAAGTTACATAATAAATTAAATTTATAATTAAAAAATATTTTAAAAATTTTACATACATACAATATTATTATTCCTCTCCATTCATCATGTGATAAATAAAATTTGTCTATCAAGAATTATTATTTTTTTTCTTTTATTTAATCCATTAAATACATATTTTAATTTAATTAAATTCAAATACATGTTAATAAAAAATAAACTACATACCTAATTATTTAAGATAAATTTTTTAAAAATTAAAATATTTCAACTTTTTTATATAATTAAAACAAAATTAATAAAATATTATTAAAATTTGCACGACCGACAAAAAGGAAAAGTTTGATCTTATGTAATTAATTTTTAAGATAATCAATTAGAAAGAAAAAAAAACCGAACCAGGGCCCAATTGCACCAACAATTTCTTAATTTTTTTTAATAAATTAATCAAAAAATTTGCAAAGTTTCTGTTGCACCAATAGTCAGAACACAATTGGACTTTTAAAAGTACTCTTTTAAAAAAATTGAAAAACTAAAGGTAAAAGGAAAGTTAAAGTGTTTAACGCAATAGAGCCCAGGTTAATGACATTATAAGTTCATTAAAGATAGAATTTAAAATTGAAAAAAAATATTTTTTTGGATACGATTTCAAATTTAAATAATATTATAATGAATATTATAAATATTCAATAGATTTAAAAATACATACATATGAATATATAATATAATATACAAATTATATAATATATTTATATTATAATAAAACATTCATATTTATGCATATATATAATGATATTTAATATATATAAGGATATTTACATTATTATAATAATATGTTTGCATGTATAATAAAATAATATTTATATTAAAATAATATATTACATATATTTAATTTATAATATATTAGCGTAATATTAATTATATTATATATATAAATATATAAAGAAAATAAATTAAAATTAAAAAGGATAAATAAAATTAAATGTAAAATTATTTAATACAAAAAAAAGAACAAAAAAAAATATAAAAAACATTATGAAGAAAAAAATTTAAATAAAAAGAACAATTGTTTGATGAAAAGTTATTAAATAATTTTTAAAAATTAATAATCTTTTTTCCTTTGTTTTATTATTTCTTAGATACTGCATCCTTATTCTATATGCATAATGTAGAAATAATCTTTTTTTGTGCAGGAGATTAAAGCTAAGTGATATTTGAACTTTGAATTGAATTTCAATTCAAAACTTCACATTCGTTCCCCTCGGCCAAAAACTTGTTCTTAAATTCATTTTTTTTTAATATTAAAAGAAATAGTACACATTGCCAAAATAATAGGGGTCCCAGTCGTAATTGTCAAAAAAAAAGGAATGAACGCAAAAATGAGTGAAAAAGATCAGTCATGAATATCATAAATTTGTAAACTTTTAATTTTTTGATAAATGTGAATGAATAAACTCTTGCACATACATATATGGAAATTTTTTCCAGTTGTTTGTTTTCTCGGAAAACTGTTAAGTTTTGCAAAGGTAATGATGACAGGCTTCAAGAAGAAGAAACAAAAATATAAAAGAATCTCCACATGAGATAACAAATGAAACATAATTCACAAGATGAACTGTTCGAAAGTTATCAAATGACTATCTGAGTAGCAATGCTGAATTACAAGTTACATCTTAATATACTATAAAATTTAAATAAGAGAACTGTCAAAATTAAAAGGTTTTAGAAAAAAATTGTGTTTTATATTGCAGAATTCTAGAGCTTACTAATTAAAATAATTTAAAAAAATACAAATTACGTATATTACGGTAATATAAGTGAACTATTCACCTTTGAAAATGCATACGTCCTTAATAGTAACTAGTAATTTGGTAAGTTTTTTTCTCAGGATAGCAGACTTTAACTTTTCATAATTTTATGTAATTTTTTCGAATTGCAGAAAATATAATCTCTAAAAAAAAACACAAACATGTTTTTAAAAACACTACTCTCACTGGAAAATTGCAAGAAAATTTTTAACATAGTTAATACAGAACTAGGCCCTAAAAATTTTTTTTGTATCTATTTCGGGGAATACTCCTGGCAATATAAGTTTTCTGAAAATATTGAATGAAAGACTATATTATTTTGTATTTTGCATATTATTAAAATTTTATTTTATTTGTGTCTAAATAGACATCGAATATTTTATGGGTAATTAATTTTTATTTTTAATACTATTGAGTTACAATGATTAAAATGAGTAATTAAATTTTTTCTTGAAATATGTATACATACTACTTTTAATATTTATTTTTCGTATGAATCATCCAATTATTTTATATATTTTTATTAGGTTAAAATTGAAAATGTTGATGAAATGAGGTATTATTAAACCTCCTAGCTTTTACATACACATAATATATATTTTTTAAATTGATTTTTCAATTTGGTTTGGTAAATTGTATTTTGATTTTTATTTAATCATGCCTATTAGTCAAACTGTATTTTTCCTTCACATTAATTCCTATAAAAATAATTTATATCTTTTGAAATATAGACCTAAAATATATTTATACGGTTGCTTCATGGAAATTATAATATACACAATACAAAAAAAAATTTTTGTTTAATTTTTCTTAAAAGGAAAAAAAGAACGAGAGAAATATGAAATATGTTTAAAATACATTTGAAATAAATGACAAATTCTTAAACTTAAATAGAACCTATCTTAATAATTGAATTATACTAAAATTAAAAATCTAAATTAATGTAAAACTTCCTCCAGACATGCCACCGCGAAATTTTCTGATGGCCCTAATAGGCATTGATATATCCTAAGGTTGTGTTGGAGGTTGCAATGGTGGCGGTTGATTAATATTAGCTGAAGTTGTTGGCGTATTCGATGATGACTGTGACTCAGCACCAGGCGAAGCTTCGGATGCAGTACTTCCTGTTTGTTCTAAAAAATTTTTTTTGTTATTTTTTCTAATTTTAATTTCATGAAAATTTTAGTTACCATTTGTGTTGCTTGATGATGGTGTTGTATTCGATTTCGTGTTTGAACTACCAGTAGAGGCAGCAGTTGTAGTTTGTGATGTTGAAGAATTTGCTCCCGAGGCGTTAGAGGTGGTTGTTGATCCAGTAGTTGCAGTAGATGAAGTAGTTGTTGATGGACCACTCGCACTTTGTTGCCATTGACTACCTTGTTGCTCTTGCTGATGCCTTTGATGTGCTTGTTGTCTTGCACGAAATTCAGCAGCTTTTAGTTGTTCTAAGTGAAATTGTTGTCTTTCTGTGATTAATTGTTGACGTTGGTATTCTAGACCTTCCCTTTCTCTTTCCATTGTAGTTTCAAGTTCTTCAAAATGTCTAAGTTTTATTTCCAACTTTTTCATTTGAGTTTCAACTAATAAAGCTACAAGAGATTTTATTTTACGTTCTTCCAAAGCAGCTAGATGTTTAGCTTTTACAGCAGCTGATTGCAAAGCAGCAGAAGCTGCAGCTTGTAAATTAGATTCATTAAATAGTTGTTGTTTACGATTTCCATCCCCATTATCTTTTGACCCGTTCGTAGCCTCTGTGCTCGTAGCGGTTGATTGTGAGGATTCCGTAGACGATTCTTCAGGTTTCAATTCTTTGTCGTTTTCAGTTTTTACCTCCACTAAAAACAAATTGACAAATAAAATTATTCTATTTTCAAAATTTAACGATTTTCATTTCATTACCTCCATCTTTTTTTGATAAATCCCTCATTTCTTCATCATGCCCTGTCTGCGACCTATCTTCTTCTTCCTCAGTTCCAGCTATACCACTTTCAGTCAAACCGGCGTAAGGATCAAATTTTCCACCAATATTTGATTTTTCTACATTCTTAATATGAGCATCAAGATAAGATGATGGCACCTCGTCCTTAAAATATACACAATAAAAATAAGTTTGTTATTCATTTGTTATTTTTTTTACTTTGATAGCAGCGAATTCTTCCATGGCAGCTTTTGCTGCGGCTGCAGCTACTCTTGGATCAACCACAGACGCTAAGAAAGCAACTGTGGACATTATGGGATTTCCAGATTTGCTGAACGGAATTGGTTGCTGTGCTAGAGGTCCTAAAAACCCTCCATCGTCTTCCAAATACGGATCTTCAATTGGTAACCGTAAGAAATGCAAAATGCATTCATCTTGTGTCCTAGAACCAACATGTTCACATACTTTGTTCCAATCATCTTTATACATTTCTAATCCTTCCAATAACAAAAGAGTTTCCTGATCTGTCCATTCTCGAGCCAAACTTGCAGCAGTTTTATTACGCATTGCCGCTGGCTTTTTAGCATACTGGTCTAGCCGTAGTCCAAATTGCCCACAGGTATCAAGTCCAGGTTCAACTTTAATTTGAGGAATTACCGTTGGAGTAGGTGGTCCAGTAACTGAAGCACTAGTAGTGGCTACCGTCGTGGTAGTTGTAGTTGTGGCAGGTGTAGTGGTTGTACCCGCGGTGGTGTTTGCTGCTGTAGTTGTAGTTGTAGTGCTGACAGTTGTTGTCTGCGTAGTGCCAGTAGATGTTGTTACGGGATCTGCATCTTTTTCAACTTTAGGTTTCTTGTCTAAATCAAATAATGCCTTAGCAGCTGATGGTTGCGGAGTTTTCTGAGGATTAATTGGCTGCAAACCTGATGGAGTGTCACTTAATATGTGAAAATGAGAAGTCGGAGGAGGGCCCATCGGTGTCGGCCGAAGTTCTGCCTCAATTTGATAATTGATTAGACCCCATTGCTCGAGAAAGGCATGTACCCTCATTATAGCACAAACATCGCCAGCCAAATTGCGACGACAGGCTGTGCTTGTTAAATATTCTGTTGGATTTAATCTATAGGTGTCGATCATAAAATTCCTGTAAGCCATATATATTTCTGGAGTTTTTGATTTGTTTTTTCCATTAAAAAATTCAGGCATAGCACGCTTTTCAATTACATGAATGGAGTTATAATCAAACCAAGCTGAATATGATGGCACAATTATATGATGAGTTTGTTCTGTAACATTATCTTCAATATCGTCTTTAGGAGCAAACTCTTGAGTAGCACTATTTTCACTGGTTTTTCCTGTTTGCGAGTCTTCTCCAGCTGCAGTTGCCGCCATTTCTTCATCCAAATCAGTGACAGTTCCACCTTCAAATAAAATAAAATGTGATGATGGGTTAATTTAATTTAACATTTCTTATTACCTTTAATAGGCATCATATCATTATCTCTTGATTTAGATCCAGGTGCTGGACTTGATGTTGATGAGTTCGGAACTGGAGCTTTACTTACTTCGGTTATGTTTGGTTCGGGTTGGGGATCTTCCATATCGCGAGTTAAATCTTCTTCATCTTCTGCACCTTCTCCAACACGGGATTTCTTCGTTGATGCCGCCGGAGAACGCTTTCTTTTTCCAGATTTTGCTGTTGGAGACGGACTTCTGCGCCTTTTCTGCTTAGAACTACTTGCAGGAGCATGTCGCTTTTTATCTTCCATTGCAGACATCAAATCTTCGACTGATAATCTGAGGCGGTGCATTTTTTTCTTTCCTTGTTCATCAACTTCGTAGTCTTCCTCAATCATTAACTCGTTGTATTGCTCCAAATCTAAAATCCATGAAGCTGACACTCTGATTTTATCGTCAGGTGATGCAGGATTATCCGGAATGTTGTCTGGTATTTCTAATTGCGAAGCGGGAACCCATGAATCATAAGAATCAGGAAAGCAGTACCAATGGAGCATGATGTTACCGCCGCGTTTGAACGATGGTCTTGCATACTCATCCGGATGTGGATCAACAATCGGGTATACAACATGGGTAGCCTCATCTTCCTCTTCTGCAATTTCAATTCGCCGAGCTTGCAGAATATCTTTTAGTTTGTTTACTAAATTTTTATCGATTTCTGGACGTAGAAATACTTCGGGCAACCGATATAATTCAGATTCAACCAATGCTGATTCAATATCCATAATCATTTGGATATTAGGATCTTTTCTAGAAGTGCTTTTGCCTATACTGAAATCAAATTTCTTCCCACGTTGTTCTGCCCGAAAACGAAACATAGTTGACAAAATCACGCAAAGCCCACCACCAGGTTTAAAGTCATGAAAAAATCGCATCTAAAATGAAATTAAATTTTACAATATGTGTTGTACATAAGTACATACATATATGTAATCCAATAAAGTATTGTTTTACATATACATATGTAGATATTATATATTGTGAAAATGAAATACCGATCCGTACTTACTGGTATTCGCAATGTTGGTGGCTCTTGAGCATTTTTTCCCAATTTCGCTTCTTGATATTGTAAAAACTGAATAACGAGTTGTGAGAGAGATTCTTTAGTTAAGGATTCCGTACTACATGCAATAGTCTGCAAAAAAAATTATTAAATCTCCATACTCAAATGCGCCATGTTTGGCTGTCGCCATTATTTGTTACCTTTTTACATGTTTTTTGTAACCACTGACGAATAGTTTCAAACCCCTGTAAACTTTCTGCAGATTGGAAAAACTCCAAATTGGGTCCCCCGTCTTTTTTAGGACCTAGTGTAACCATTTTAATTTTTTTTCTAGATTTGAATAAAATTTATTTTTTTTATGACGCTTTAAAAACACTCGTCAGTCGTCAGAATAATTTGACAGCCGGAAATTTTTCCCGATTAAAATTTACCGATTGGATTGTCAATGATTGTCTCAAAGTTAACTGACGTCTTACAGGGGTGACAGCAATAAATTTTTCCGTTTCATAATTTGGGATCTTCACGACTATTAATATTATAGGGCTGAACGCTCCTTTATTTACAAAAACCGTAGTAATTATCCATGAATCTATTTTTTAAAGAAATTACACTTAGGAGGTTTTTTCTTATTTCGGTTTTAAGAAGTATTTATAATGTTTTTACATATTTTCATTTAGAGTTTCCCAATTTTTTGATAAAAGTGAAATATGGATACACTTTTAGTTTTTAAATATGTCTTTCAGTTTTTCATATTTATTTAAACGATCAGTTTTATTTCAAAAGTCAAACATCTTCCGAAAGATAATCGAGTGAAAAAATCAGTTTATTTGTTGAAATTGTGGTGTTAAAAAAGGAGGCATTTTCATTTTAAAATAAATGTATTATAAATTGAATTTGTTTAAAACCACTTATATAAACTACATACATAAATTAATGTGCATGTTTACTTTAAAAAAATTTCGTAAAGACTGAATTTCAAGGTTTTCAATTGGAAAATACATATATGAAAAATTGAATTAATTGGAGACTACTGATGTTGGAATTGACCATTCTTGAATTCCATAACAACAGGTATAAAATCGTCATTTTTTGCCATTTAATATTTGTCAGGTTATATTTTGGAGTGTATACATATATTATTTAATTTTTTACCTGGCCTCTACTATAAAATATGTATATATAATTTGTAAGAAAGATAAGTTAAATTTTTTTTTTAAATAAAAACTTGAACTATTTTTTAATCAATTATTTTGGTTGTTTTTTTGGAAATATGATGATTTTTGACTATTTTCATTTCGAGTTCCACTAAAAGCTAAAAAAATTTATACTAAAATGAAATTTGGGGTTTTCTGAGCAACATATCAAAAATTCAAATTTCAACTCAAAATTTTAACTATAAATTTGATTAAATATATTTTCGAGGTTTTCCACATTTTTTTACCGCCATGTCAGACAACATATGTGAGAGAATTGAGAGTAAAAATGATAATACACTGAATAAAAAAAAATTGGTGCTATATATTTTAGTCTAGAATACACAACTTAAAGTTAGTAAAAATTTTATTAGATTTTAATTTAAGTTTGTAATTATTTGATTTTAAGTTTTATAATTATGAAAGTGCTTTTAAAATTTTATAATCATTATGAAAGATGTGTCGTTTCAAGTTGTCCTTATATAAAAACGACAAACATAATAAAAATATTATAGTTTCTGATGCGGTAGTTGAGGTAAATCAGTGCCTTACTAACAATGTGAAAATATTTCCTAATAAAACTAAAATCTCATACATACTTAAAAATTATATGGACTCTTAAAATAAAAAGAATTCACATATGCAATAATTTTTATGAATTATGAAAAATATAAATTTAATTAATATAGTATATACATGAAAATTATATAAATATCTTATAATATTTATAATTTATAATTAATATAGTATATACATGAAAATTATATAAAATCAACTAAATTCCTCGAAAAATATTGCACTATTTTTTTTTCTTGTAGTGTACCATTTATTGAAATCTTAAAAAAATTAGCAGAACCTCGAAGGGTTTTTTTAAATCAATGTTTTAATGTTTTTGTAACACAAAACTTTAAGAATGTAAGCACTAGTAAAATAGAAAGATTGAATTGTAATTTTTTTTAATTAAAAATTAATTAGACTTATAATGTTAAAAAAGGCCTTCTATAGATTCCATAAGAATACGTGTAAATTCGTCAGCTGTGAACTGTCGCTCTCTCTTAGGGTCCAGGCCTGTATTTCTCTCAGCCGTGATTGAAACAAAAAAAGAGACTTAACAATTCTGAAATATTTGACTTACGATCTTTAAGGGAGCGAAAAGAGATAAAAACAAAAATGGCTTCCTTCCTTTGCTTAGTTTTCTAATCAAAATATTTTTATTCCATCCGCAAAATTTTTATTCGTCTTACATTTTCCATTTAATAAACGTATCCTAGATATATGTAAGTGGGGGTAAGGTGTATATGCAGTTGTATATAAAAAATGCATATGATAAATTATACTTTGACATAAATAAAAAGTAGATGAAGTTCAATTTTTAATGCAACCTTACTATTTGTGTCTACGAAGATACATACACATTCATATGTACATGTATGTACGAGCGCGGCATACTTTAAGTTTTTTAAAGTAGAACAATAAATTTTTGAATTGCATAAAATAAGTACATGCATAATATAAAAAAAAAAGAAAATCAAAATTGGGATTTCGAATGCAATTTCAAAATTATGTATGTCACTAGGTCAAATCCTTTCAAGAACACCAGTACCACATAGTTATTATTGAATTTTAAAACAACAAAAAATTATACATAATATATTTACAAGTACAAAAATGTATGTAATGCTAATGTGTGTATGTATTTATAAAAATGAAAAACACTAGCAACAATATCAAAAAGACATTACATAATGTACATATTATTTATCAATAAATTAATGTTAAAAACAAAAGATAAAAAATTTTTTAAGCAAATATTATATTACATTTGTATGTATGCAAATAATGTGTATATATGTGAAATATTTATTTACATACATATGTATACTCATGTGTCTAATATACATGTAGAGTATTAAAATATGTGCATTTATATATATTTTATATAATATTATTTAAAGTTATAAACGATTTGGTTTATGGTGTAGTCTTATATATGTAGTACAAGTTCATGTACTCATTTTACATAAAAAAATTGTGATTATTTTTATTCTTATATTTTTTTTATCAAAAATTTAATTTCTCCCCTTTGAAATTTTTAATTCAGCAAATAAATGAAATAATAAAAAACTGTAAGAAAAGGAAATGATATTATTTTTTACATATTTACACATACATATATAAATACGAATAAATTCGTGTCTGACAACATGTTGCGTTCGAAAGAAAGGAAAAATAACATTTAAGAAGGAAAAAAAAGAAAAAGTATTAAAAAATAATGTTTCTGCAAATTTTATTCTCTCTGAGAATAGTTGATTAATTTTATTTTAGAGAGATTATTTATCTCTCCGTCATACCCGTACCTATACAATTAACATTCCATTACTCGCACTTATCCTTGCAGAAATAATAATATAACAAAATTCCTCTATGTTTAAAAATGCACAAACATACATAAATGTAATATATTAAATTAAAAAAAGTATACACAATTATAATGTAAAAAAAATTTTCCCTTATTTGCATTTTATATGAATTGAAATTTAAAATGTATTTGTTAGCAAAAAAATTATTACAACGCATGACAAAACAAAGAAAATTTTTTTGTATATTTAGATGAAAAAATTTTTTGATGAATGAAAATATTTTTCCTTATGTGAGTGTGTGTGGTTGTTTAGCATTAATGGGTGCGCATGAATTATTCAGAATTTTTTATTCATACAAGCAAAAACACATAATAAAATATATCTAAAAATGTATGTAGGTGTATGTAAATTTGTATTTTTGCTATTTTGTTCTATTCTTACCATCAAATTTAATTTTTGTAGTTTTAGAGAAAATTTTTTTTAAGGATAATTTAATAATACATACATACATATTATGTGTTTACATAGACAAGGAACAACAGATTGTGAGCGGTTTTTATAATTTTTTTTTTGTTGCCTTCCTTTATTATTTTTTGTTCTAAAATATTTTAGTTTTATTTTAAAATGACATGCGCTGTAGTATTTTTTTTTCTTTTTTAATAATCATATGACAATGATGATAATGAATGTATAATGATTGTGGTTATGATAACTTTGAGGCTCAGGCTTTCAATTTTTAGTTGAGAGCGAAACTGTTTTTTTTTTATTTACACATATCTACGAGTACATATCTACGTATGTATGTATTCATTATAATATAATTTGATAAAATTACTATTATTTTTGTTGTTGTCTAATTCCATTTCTAAATATTTTTAGTAATTTGTTTTTGTTTTTTTCATAATAATTTTGGTCAAATTGAAAATTGCTCAGCAAAAAAAAACCAAAAATTCTACTGGTTTTATGGTAATTCTTCTATATGGATGAAATGAAAGTTATATATATTTACCTACGAGTAAATTGAATGTCATCATACATATGTACTTGTATGTAATTGAATGTCATCATACATATATACAATGTGTATAAATGCAAAATATAAAAATATGTGTATAATAGTATATGCTGTTGTTATACTTTTAGCCTTTTTTTTATATTTTTTTTTATTTTGTTAAGTTTGAAGAGTAATAAACCATATATAAGGAAATTTGAAGTGGGAGCGGTCTTTTCGGAAATTATTTTAAATAGAAAATTTTATTTTATACACATTTATACTATATAAATATACACAGGGTTTATTTATTAAAATACTGCGAATTAAAATGTATAATGAAAGCAAATCTAAATTAATATCAACTTGAATATGTATTCAATTAAAATTTTTTTATTAAATTTTTAAGATTCATAATATTTTTCTGTCAGAAACAGAAATTTATAAATTTTTGGTGTACTTTCTTAAGTACAGATACTCAAATTTTAATTAACTTTCTTTAAATTTTATGGAATTTCTATATAATTCTCATTTCTTAATAAAATATTCATAAACAAATATTAGACGGCCATTGAATGATAAGAAAGGGACATGGATGCTTTATAGCATTCAAATCAACTTGAATACTGAAATTTACTCAAAACAAAAATTATATTATTAAAAAAATTATACATTTTTCATATTTCAAATATACACTTCTTCAAGAAATACCAATATCTACTGCCTAGACAAACATTTTTTTTTGCACATCTTTCAATTTTTAAGTGCCCGATAACATTTTGAAATGAAATTATACATTTGCTCCTTGTTACTAAAATAATGCTAAATAAAATTCTATAATATTTTAAAAACGTTAAT